GTGTTTTGACCCCATGGGGAGGAGCTATGGTAGGGATTCCATCCTTCTCTATAGTCCATGACCTAAACTTTAAAGTTAGATTGTAGGGGATATACTAGCTAAGGCCAAATTGGCTCACTACTAGTTGAGGATGATAGTGTTCCAGAAAGGCCTTTCTAGAAGCAATAATCATAGGCAACCACATCTTTGTAGGGGTAGTGGTCAAATTAAAAATGTCATGTCACATGTTGGTCCTCGACCTCTTGGACAAGTTGAACTTGAACTACTCAGGAAGACAATGATCAGAGACTAGCAACACATTTAGCTGAGGGTTAAAGACCCGCCTGTAACATCCTAAGTTTCCCAACTAGTAATTATCAGTGTTTGCAAAGGTAATTTGATTAATTTAGATGATTATTGATTAATGAGGTTTATGAGAGACTAATATAGTTTTTGAATCCTTGAACAGTCTTAGAAGAAGGCTAGGTTGATGTTTGAGCAAACCATGACACGGAAGGGAGTTTAAATTTTGGTGTGGCTTTTTATGCCATGCACCACAGCGGGCGTGTTAATGTGTCGCAATGCACGCGCAAAATCAGCACTTATCAAATGCCAAATAGACCAGAAACAGAAGAAAGAAAGAGAAGAGATAACAAGAGAGCGATGGAGAAGAGAGTGTTTTCTACTAGAGCATGATCCCTAGCCACGTTGGGACTGTTTGGAATCACTATTAGGTAAGTTCCACATTCTCTCTTTCCCTATTTATGCAAAATTTTTGACTTAAGTGGTAGTGTAGGGCTTGATCTCAGTTTGCTTAGGTTTAAACTGAGCCTATTAGTTTATTAAGGTCTTGGAAAGTTAAATCAAGCTTTTAACCTTAAGTTTATGAGTTTTATATGATGATGAGAATTTTTGTCGAGGGTTTGGATGAACCCTAGGCATAATCTAGAGGTTTTAAGATGATATAGGGTGTTGGTTAGTAATTTTGGTGTATTGGGATATTTAATAGGATGGTTAGAGTATTTAGGAATGGTTGATATTGTTAGAAAAAGGAATTTAGGTATTTTAGGCACTTAGAACCTAGAAAATTTAGGGTTTATCTAGAATGATAATTGACGATTATTACTTCATTGTGTAGATTGAGTGTTGCTCGAGCTACCTCATGCATATAGAATATGTGAAGCTAACGTTGAGCCATGGTAAGCCTTTTTGTGTAACAAAGAGTTGAGATAATGGAATAATTTACACTATTTGATTATATTGCTTAACTGTCTATGAGTAGATATGTTAAATTTATTACTTGGAATTTCATAACCTTGCATATGGTAAAATATAGTTTTGTACACGAAAAAACTATTTGCGATGAGAATGATGAAAGTTTTATATGGACTAGTTAAGAAATTTGAAATGCATATATGTTAAATATGATGAGTGTGAGCCTGATTATGTTAGGGGGTGGGAGGTCACCCGTAAGAAGGAGTAGTGGAAGTCCATATGGTATGTATCTCCTTAGTGTCTAATAAGGCATGGTGTTGGAGATTTTCTCCTTAGTATCCATGCGGGATACAACATTGGGGAGTGACGCTCCTTACCATCAATGATGCGGTGTTAAAGTAACGACACCTCGATTAGTGTGCAATAGGGAGAGATCATAGTCCGAAAGTGGGATAGGGCATCTTTGGCTTAGTGATCCTACCACTAAAGGTGAGCTCAGACTAGTGTGAATGTGCACTTGATCCAATAGTCTATGGTTTCAGTCGGGGTGATATGGAGGATCAGATGGTAGAATAATCATACTAGTGGTAAATGACTTGTATTCATGAAAAGGAATATGTTATAATATGCTAAAAGTATATTTTGGAGTATTATAGCTTAGCTTTCTTATGGTTGTGCATGTTAATTAATAGCAGTGAATTATTCTATTATTGAGATATGTACCTCACCTCATAGTTATATTTTACAGGTGAGGGCTCCGATAGGGGCAAGGAAAAGGAAGGGCCAATTGAAGAGTGAAGAGCATTGTAGTATAGCTCTTCCCTTTTCTCTTTTAGGTTTGTGATGAATATTGCCATTATATAATACCAACTAAGGAACATGACATTATTTTAAGATATCACTTGTATGAATTTATGATAAGTGTGTATATCTTAGTCCAAGATTGATGTTGTGTGTGTTTGGCCAAGTTACAATTACAAGTGATGTATTTAAAGTGATTTATGTGCCAAAATGACCAAATTGAGATGTGTGTTAAATTTAATCCACCTTTGTGTTATTGTCAAATGGGGGTTTGGTGGTCATTTTGAGTGTGATTGTTTATTTATGATATAAATGATCGGTCATATTGTGTGTGATCCATTTGTGGTGGTCAAAGTGTCTCTGAGGCTAATGGCATTTGGTATTGTGAGTTGGATATCTTTGTGTGTATTTGAGGTGAAAACGAACTATTTTAGGTTCAGGTGTCTATCTTTTTAATGGATAATTGTTTGAGTATGAGACCAGTGCCATTACTTAAGGGGCTCGAAGAGCTTCGTGTGAACACTTGAACCGCCTAAATCGGATGTCAGATGGCAAAACAAAGTTCAGAGAGCTGTCATGACAGCAATCTGCTGTCATGTTAGTAAGTGCGCGCTGCAGCGCAAGTGGCTTTCAAGGGACTTGTTCTTCTGTGCCATCCATCACGGTGGATAGGCCATATTTTTTGAAAAATAGCTTGTTTCAGCTTGTTTTAAATTGATTTAATTTTCATGCTTTTGTATTTGTTCTTAATTGATTTTGAACTATCATTTGGGCTCAAACAACAACATTTTAAAAAGGGTTTTATTGGGATTCTATTGTTTTAAACTAATTATCTTTTAAACCTTTAGGTTGTGATAACTTCTTTTTAGGATTTTATCTAATTCTGATTATCATAACGGCATGTAAGAGTGTTGTTCTAGTAATATCAAGGCAGACATTTCAACACTTCTGTTGCCAAAAGAGCTTAAAGAAATCTAATTGTCATAGGGGATGGCAAGAAAGGGGCCTTATAGAGCTCAAGGAAGTAAGCCACGACCCATAGCTTTAAAAACCATATAGTTTTATAAAAGTTGTCATAAGGCTTCTTCTCTATGGATTCCCTCATCCCATCATATAAGTGGTAAAGAAACATAGTGCCCAGGGCCATTTGCCATTTGTAGTGAAGGTGCTTTACCAATGGGAGGTGTTGAGTCATGGGCTTGCTTTCACTTGGGGAAAAAATCCATTAGCTCAATGGCACCCATAGAAAAAATAGGTGCTCTTCATCTATGATGGCCTAGGTACAAGGCAATTCACATAGTTGGTGATGAGAGAGAGGTATACGAACCAACATTCTTCACCGTCACTTTAACTGTAGTGCTTAGGGATCAGTAGGGTAAGGTCAACAACAAGGATTTAGTGAAAATTTTCTTCAATTGTAATGGGGAGCCCTAAGAACATAAACATGTCAAGCAAAGTGACAGTCATGAGACTCAATTCAAAAATAAAAGCGTTATAGCCAAGAGACCAGAAGCAAAGGAGAGACTTTAGAAGGCTAACATTCAGCCATGTGGCTTAAAAAGATCGAGATCGAGGGTAGTTAATAAGTTTTCTACAAGAAATCTTCTTGAAAGAAACGATCTCCCAGGCCAGCAATAACTCCTTGGTAGAGGATAATGGCCAAGGGTCGGTGATTATGGGGCTTGGTGGCTCTATGGCCTATAGGGCTATGGATAAGTGGCCGGCATTGGTTATAACAACGGGGGTAAAGCTATGTGGAACAACACTATAGGCAAATATGTAAAATTCTTTAATATTGAAGGGAATGACGAAAACAAAGAGGGTAAAGGAAGAAAGTGCTTATTGAAAATAAAGGGAAGTAGGGAGTCTAGGCAAGGTTAGACGCTTTTACTAGAGAAAAGAAACCCATTTTGAAAGAGGAACACAATCTAGAAAGAAGGAAAAGAAAAGGCAGAAAGGTCAATGCTTACCAGAGCGGTTGTCTTGAGGCAGTCCAAGTAGGTTATGGACAGTAACCAAATCTTTAGACAAATTGGTCGGAACAATGACTTAGATATTCTGAATAGCATCAACTAGGCAAGCCATTGTCAATAGGAATAAGTGAGGGAGAGTGTGAGAAGGAAGAGTGAAGAAGCTTGAAGGGCAAGGAAAATCAGAAGCATATAGTAGTAGAGAGAATGATTAATGTGGACAAGAGGTTTATAGTCCCAAGAGGCTCAAGGGAATGAAATGATGCATCGGTTCTCATTCAAATGTGCTACATGGCTTATGACAACCAACCATTGCAGGGGGTATTGTTTGTTTGTTTAGGCTTAAAGATGAAACAATGGTCCCATAAGAGAAACTAAAACTAAAGGCAAGATACTTAGTCTATTTTTAGGAGGAAGGCATGTTATACATGAGCTTGACGTCACCCTCAAGACTCAGATGACTAGACGTAAGAGACCATTGAGAGGATACAATGTGACATGCCATGAATCTCACAGGTTGTGCTAAGTGATCCCCGACATAAAATGAGGATGAACATTCAACCAGTAACATCTATACAGACTTTTAGTTTATTCTTAATTTTCTAAATTTACCTTTGATTCTTAGATAGCTTTTAGAACCATTTCTAGTTTTTAGTATTATAACTTTGTACTTAGCATTGGTATCAATTTAAAATTCATTTATTCCAATCTCTTTGTATCTTCACGTTTAAGTAAATTGTGGTCAGGAATCCTAAAAACTCATTATTATCTCTTGAAATGTAGCGTTTTTGGTATGTTTAATATTTGTTATTTTTATGAAGAACACATCTTCTGTTAAGAGGGTAGAGAGAGATCTTGCATTTGATTATACAGTTTGGAAGGATCTGTGAAATAATTGCCTGAGAAAATTCCTTCGAAATGATTGATTTTAAAATTTGTTGATTTTTTAAATTCTAAATAAAAATTTTATAATTTTTTAAATAAACTAAAAATAAAAAATAAATCTTTTAAATCTGAACCGTAATCTGGATCGGAACCAGTTCCCTGCTTGGTTACTTCCTTGCCTTCTCGTTAGCCGTCAACTCGTCAATCTTCATCTTGCAATTCCCTCTTTGCATTGGCGTTCGTGTCTGCTGACTTCGAAACTGAGTTCGCTGTTTTCATCTTCGAGGTCGCGTCTCCTGTTCGTGTTCGTGGTTGCTCGACTTCACCGTTGCTCTCAAGGCTCAAGGTATGTTCGACTTCATGGTTCTGTTTCGATTTTTTTTTTTGTTGTGATTTCTTTGCTGATTTCGTGACTTCTACATAGAAGTCGTTTCTGCTGAATGATTTATCGTTCGCTCTTCCATTTTAACTTATCTGAGATACAGGAGAAATCTAATTTCGTACGCATATTTTGGGAACTGTGGAGCTTCCTCTTTATAATTAATTTGATGGTGAATATTCTGGGAATCGGGAACGTATTTCCATTATTATAATTTCATTGTAGTTCCTGTAGCATTCATTAAATAGAAAGACTTCTATTACTTTTCCTAGGTGGGAGACGGAAGGGAGTTTATTTTGCTGCTGCGTGACTCAGTAAAGGCAACTTAGTTTAAATGAATATACTATTAGTTGTTTTGAAAAGTATTCAGCAGCAGAAAACAACTGAAGGGAGGACAAGAGGATGGATGATTTATGTTTGCTTTTGTTTGTACTGTTGGAACTGGAAGTTAAACAATTATTTGTTTTACTTGTTACTGCCTTACTGGAACGATGAATGTCTAAGAATAGTCTAGTTTTTGTGGATGTTGGTCGCCAGATGGTGGACAGCCTTGTGTTTGTGTGTTTTGTTTTTTGTATTGTAGGCTGGAGTCCGCTGGACATTAGTGAATGTTATGTTGAATGATGAGATGATGAAATTTCAGGCTTATTTTTTTTAATTCCAGGAAAAAAAAAATCATTTCAAGTGCCATACTAGACAGTTTAGCCCAAGTGTGCCTGCCCCTTCCAATTATGGGCATTTTTCGGACATCGATGGGCATCGGGTTCAACTTTACACTTGAAGGGGTTTTAGGGTTGGGCAATGTGCAGCTACCCTGCCTGGCTCAACCCTGCCCTTGTATAACCCTAAATCTTTGTGGCCGATTCCTCTTACTTATGTCTATGCATGCAGACAACTGGATCTGATTTCTCTTTCTTGGCCAATTTTCTGTGTGCTTGATTCTCCTCTGGGTTTTTCTAGAAATGTATGGCTAGGGTAGATTATTTTCAATGAATTTATCGCATTGTTAGTTCCATTTAAGTTGATGTATATCAACCACTTTACTTGGCAAATGGTTTGACGTGGATTATTGTGATTCGGTGGTGATTTGATGGCCTATTATTTTAACCCACCAAAATTTTTTAGTGGTGCTTGGTTGAGGTGTGCTTGGTTTGCAAGTTGTATGCTGTGTTTGGGGAAAGTCCTATCTCACTATGGCTTTGCCTAACTGAACCAGCAGATTTTCAATGAAGTTGCTCTTAGCACAATAAGAAAATTGAGTTGTATGAAATATACTAATGGAGCTCCATTACAGTCTTTTACTTGACATGCAATTATTTTTGAGCATAGATGCCCATAATTTTCTCTTACCATTGTTCATAAGGAACCACCCATGGAGGCCTAGCATATTAGGAACTTTTTGTTCGTCAATCTTATATACAAATGCTGCGACTTTAATATGATATGCCCCTATATCATGGTCTGCTTCTGATGCAATGTTACATGGTATCGATAATTAATTGGCAAATTTTTACTGATTTTTCTGACTTTAGTGGTTTTGTTGGTTTGATTTCAGATACCCAAAAGAAAGACAATGGCAAAGAAGAAGAATCCCCTGGTTTTTTTGGATGTGTGTATAGAAGGTGGCCATTATGAAAGGATGGTTTTTGAGGTACCCTTTTTGTTTTTAATACTTTAGAATTAAAATGATTGTCACGATCCAAGATGAAGTCTTTTTTTTTTTTTTCCCTCTCTTAAAAATTTTGCAACTTTGACTACGAGAGTAAAAATGCAGCCTAATGAATTCTTTGGTTCTCTTGGCTATTCTTTGACATTGCCCCCTTCACTGCAGAAAATTTCCGTTTGTTATGTACAGGTAATAATTTGATTTCCTTATAACCCCCGAGCAAAACACTCTTGAACTGCAATTACAATCTCACTGATTGAATAAGCCCTTGGACGTCCTAATTTATTTTGATTTTATGGTTTATGATTGGCTTCCTCATTTGTCATCCAATCTTCTCTTTGTTCAGGAGAAAAGGGAAGCAGTCCAAAAACTAAAATACCACTGTGCTACAAAGACGCTTACTTTCATGAGGTTAAGGAAGGTGGCTCCTACGTGAAGGTATGTAATGATAGTTTTGGGCTTGTACTTGTTAAGTTGTCGATCTTATAATGCTAATTAGTGTTTGTAATGTCTAAAACCGTTTTATATGCAATGCACCATCAAGACTAGTTACTGATGGCTGGTTTTCTTTTTGTAGGGAGGTGCTTTTTGCTATAAAACGGGTATCTTTTCTATTGATTCATTGACCTTAGGATGGCACCTATGACTAGTTTTTGAAGCTTCTAATTCGATACAATACATTTATTCATTTTCATGTTTTTTATCCATGTCATTTTTCGTAGTATCATCTTGAGTCATCACATGAAGCAATTATTATCACTTTAACTAATTTTTACTAATCACTAATTAAATGAAAGTAGATTCATTTCTTTTTTGTTCTTAGCACGGAATTTGAAGAATGAGCTATGATGTTCCCATCTTGTGAATAATGCCTCTTATGTATTTTATATTTAGATGTTAATATATTGATTTTAAGTAAATTTTGTATCCTCTGTCTTGAAAATCATTTGGGTCGCTAAAAGTAGGATTAGATTAAGGCTAGCAATCGGGGATGTTAACTAGATCATTTTTTTTGCATTTAAAAATGTTGTCACTTAGGATGGATTTCTAAGTTTATTAACCAGCAATTGATGTTATCTGTTTAGAAATCCAAAGTTTAACCAGCCACTACTGTCAATATTTATGCATATCAGTGTATATGTAAATTTTCAATTTATATAAAATACTTTTTGACATGTATATAAATTCTTCTGTGAAGGATCCTATCAATACTGTATAATGTTGATTGAGTACTTTGGACCTAGCAGTTCTTCATAATTACAATGTTAATTGCAATTATAAGTTTCATCTGGTGTTATGCCCAGTTTGCTATAATTTTTCATCGTTTGTAATCTTTTTGTAGGGGATGGTGGAGAAAGTGTATATGGTCCCCATTTCCCAGGTGAGATTGCTGGATCCTGAATACATATGTTTGAAAAGCTTTCAAAACGTCTCTGTCTATTTATTTTGATGAACTGAGTTTCTACGTTGGTCTTGTGATCTATTTCGGTTGAGTCATCTAGGCTTAAGCATGATAAAGAAGGTGTTCTGTCCATGGCAAAAGAAGATCGTGAAACTCGTGGTTCTCATTTTGTGATCACATTGAAAGATGATCACAGCCTTGACAGGTTCATACACACACACACACACACACACATGCATGCATGCATGGATGGATGGTCAACTTTTGGACATATTTATCTGAGTTTTTTCTTTTATCCCCTTCTCATGACCTTCTGGGGTGTGAAAACAAATTGTCCTGTGTTGCAAACATTGCATTGGTAGAAATATATAATATATGAGTCCTGTTGTTTGGAATCTTGTGCAGTTCTCATGTGGTCTTTGGAAAGCTTGTCGAAGGATTCTACACACTGGGGAAGATTAGAGACACTGGTGTTAGGTTTCCTGTTCAAATCTTCAATTCTGGTTTGCATTACGAAGGTGAGATATATTTTGACCATCTTAGTTCTATTAAAAGAATGGTTTTGTTTATAATGCTCAAGATGTATGGCACAATCGAAATAAATCACTTCATCTTTGGCTTCTGCTTATCAACGAAGCAAAATCCTGAAATATATGCTTGTTTTTTATGGGGAAAAAAATTCTCTAAAGCTCTTGATTACTTGATGTATTTAGTGCTTTTATCTTAGTTTACTGATTACTCCTCTAGTGACAATATACGATGTGTTTCCCATTATTTTTGCTCACCCACCACTAACCAGTAATTTAAAACAAAGTGAATGGTTTATTTGGTCATTTACTTGCTAGAAATTTTCATTGATTTAAATGGGGCACCAACATGCTGGGGATGTACGAGTGGACCATTTTATTGCATTGTATTCTTTTGTTCTATTACCCTTCCTCCTCTTGGTCTGTATTTTTTCTGCTAATTTGCTTAATCAGTTTTCTTAATTTCCTTGCAGGTGATAGCCCATGGTATTTGTGGAAGGGACAAAAACCGGTAAAACTGAATGAATATTTTAGTTGGTCCTTATATTAAGTTGGTATTTAAACTTTAAGAAAATCGGTTAACTGTAATACTTGTCTGGAAATAAAGAAAAAGTAGACTAAAATAAGGCTGCATTAATTATTTATTGTGAATGAAAATTATGAGTTTATGAGGAGTAGTTTAAGAAAATTATAATAAATGGTTATTGAGATGTAATTTTATAGTTTTTCTTAACTAAGGTAGCATGTGACATAGTGAGCTCCTATGTGCATATATCGCAGGAGAATGTCACAGGTGTGCTGCCCGACGGATTAAAGTCGACGGTTCAGATCGAAGGTGGTGGGGCATTGGACTCGGATGACGGGAAGGCCCAAACGTCAACTGGACTCAGACGCAGCCTTCGGATCAAACATAAGGCCGAGGCACTGAGTGGAAAGGGCTTGCTGTGAATACATTGGAATGTTCTCTTGTTATTCTCTCTCTTCCCTGTGGCAGATCTTCTGCAATTGATTTCCTTTCTGTTATCTAATGGCTGTAGGAGCCTATCGAGTTGTAATTGATTGAATGGTTAGTGGAGTAACCAACTCAATGCCTGTTTGGTTTTTATTTTTTAAAAAACTTTTTTCTATTTTTAAAAGTAAAAAAATAATTTAAACTTGTTTGGATAAGTGTTTTGATTTTAATTGCTTTCCAAATTGTTATAACAGTATTTTAAAGTTATTTACGTTTCATTTTTTTAATTTTCTATTGGAAAAAGTTAGTTTGTCCAATTTCTATAATAAAACATCGAATGTTAACCGTTTGCAACAAATAATTATCTTTATTAGTCTATTTTTTAATTTTAAAATTATTTTTAAATTAATATAATCAAATATATTTTTATTTTATTTTGTTTTGAAAACAATTATATTACAAAACAAATTTTCTTTCTTTCTTTCTTTCTCTCTCTGTTTTTTTTGTTTTTTGTTTTTTGTTTTGAATCAATCTCCCCGATCACAGCTGTCTTCTCGAAGCTTGATCACTCCATGTCCATAAACATTAATGTGGGTAGAGCTTATTCTATTTGCTATTAAGGAAAAAAAAAAAAAAGAACAAACGAAATTGCCCTTAGTTGACCACATGTCATATAATCAATAATTCAACACTTCAAAAGGATTGAAAATGACAAAATACAAAAGTATGCTGATGTTGAGCTGCATTCGCATTTCATCATTGTGCTTTAGTTTAGTTTTACTACTGTGTGTGTGTGTGTGTATGAATAAAAATATAAAAACTGAATATCACCGAAAGCATATAATATAAATTCTCTTACTAGATTGGAAAATTGTTTTAGATAAAAATTTAGTTAATCTAGATTATATAAATTAATCATAAACATTTTTTTATTTTTAACTTACATAAAAAAATAATATGATCCATCTATATGGAATACTAACTTCACCACTCAAATCTACTTGAAATAAAAATTTTCGATCAAAGCACCTGAATTCAAATGTAAAACATTAAACATAGAAAGAACTTCAAATAAAGATCAGGGATATCACATTAATTACTAGGGAGTCTCTGAAAATCTTGAAATTTCAATTTAATTTAGGAGGGTAAAAGTAAAAATAATTTTAATTGCAAAAAGATCAAAGTATTTTTTACTTGTTATGTAAAATTATTAATTTTTTTTTCACTTATTAATTTATCAATATCACCTAAAATTTTAGTAACATTAATTATTAATTTGCTAACTTGTTAATTTACTAACATTAATTATAAATTATATTTTACATATGATGTTAGTAAATTAATAAGTAAAGTTAGCAATTTAACAACTGATATTATTGTTTACAATTAAACAACTAATGTGAATTTTTATATAATTATTGACATATTAATTCATATAATTTGTAATTCATATTAGTAAATTAACAGGTGAAGTAAGAAAATTAAGAGTTAATAATTCTACTTAACAAGTGAGTGATATTTTGATCTTTTCATAGTTAAAATTATTTTTACTTTTATTCCTTGTATTGAACTAAAATTTTAAAATTTTTTGAGATTACTAGTAATGATGTCACATTACTGGTCCTTAGTTAAAATCCTCCTTTAAACATATTACTCTTTTTGCACTTTTGAATAATTTCTTATTTAATAATTATTTTACTACTTTGTTCGCCATATTTTGGTTCTGGTCATAAATCATGATAACCTTGTGGCTTGCTCAGATCTGTAACATGATAAAAGCAGGATGCCTATATCAATGGCAAAATTATGTACTTAAACTTAGGTCCTTAATATACTTATCTCCAATGCCTTGTTGACATCTGGACCTTTTCTTCAGCCCATAAATTAACTCGTTTTAGCAGTTTTGTCTTCCGTCTCATCTTTCTATCTCCAACTCTCATCGCTCTGTCCCTCATCACTCATCGTGTTCTCATCTCTCTCTTTCCCTCTCCTATATTTTGCCAGTAACGTAGTCCTCTGTTTAGAACCAAAGCTTTCAGAACTAGAAAAGTGGTGCATATCACAATTTAAGAGCCAAAAAGCTTTCATCCTTTATTTGTCCATCGTCGTATTGATGCCACTGCAAAAGCTTCCAGAACCAAGAGCTCATGGTGTGTTCTCATCTATCTCCCTTCCTCCCCTTTTGCCATCAACCAGAAAGCTCATGGCGCGTAATGCTAATGCGGAAAAATAATCCTTTGTGGCTTTTTTTTTTTTTTTACTCAAAATAAATTATCAGCTGTCTTCGACTTTCATTGGCTTTGTCAAAAAAAAAAAAAAAATCAGTGGCTTCGTATCAAAGGTTCTTGAGAATTTCGCCAGAATCAGAATTATAGCCTATGAGATATTTGATGGGATCGGCCCTTTTACTTTCCTTCTCTTTTGTTTTGTCTTTTTTCTCTTTTTAATTTATTGCTTACCGGTTACCTATTTATTAGATCAATTCTGCATAAATGAAATATATATATATATATATATATATATATTTCCTGGATCTCATTTCTGGAAGCATGGATATGTATCTCTTAGCTTAGAAACGGTGGATTTGACAACATGAATTTTATATGGGTATCTCATCTCTAGTTAAGCTTTGGTTCTAAAAGAGAAGACTGTGTTAATGGCGAAAGACGGGAGAGGGAGGGAGAGATGAGAACACGATGAGTGACGATGGAGAGAGCGACCAGAGTTGGGGAGAGAAGGATGAGACAGAAGACATTGTTAACAGGAGTTAATTTATGAGCTAAAAAAAAAGGTCCAGGTGTCAACAAGGCATTTGAGATAAGCATATTAAGGACCTAAGCTTAAGTAGGTAAGTTTTGCCCTTCATTCAATAACTCTAAAAAGTCATCTAGCATAAGCATAGTCCAAAAATGGTATGCATATAATAGGCGATGGAAGCGTTCTCACTTTTCATAATCTGTGTGTGCATTTTAAGTACCCAAATAACATCAAATACTCTTTAAAATGTTGGATTGTATTTCCTTCATTGTTGATTGATTATGTATGGGGTATGTAGATAAAAATACACCCAACTTGTAATTGTTGTTTGAAAAAAATAAAAATAAACACATTTTCCCATTGCATATGCCCGCAAAAGATCACCTATTACTACAAATATGGAGGAGCCTTTGCGTCAAAGCTTATATGTCATAATAGATATTTCAAGGGTGATTTGAAACTTTGTATTTTATAAGACCAAGTAAATATTCTAAAATTTTTAGAGTCTTTTACACACATAACCCATATTATAAGAGTAAATAAAAGAAATAATATATCCTTTCTTAAATTTTAAAAATGGCCTTTTTAATATTTAGTTAATATTTAATTTACAAAATTGCCCTTTTAAAATTACAACACTTTGCTTTTTTGCAAATACTAGAAGAGACTCAAAATGTGAGAAATTAGGCTAACAAGAGATACAAACGCTAGCTAAAGTCACGATGAAAGGAACAACTCGAAGGCGGAAGAAAGCAGAGCAATGTGAGAAGCCATAGTCATGACGGTGAGAGACAAACACGAGATGAGAGACATCAACAGAATAGAGCAAGCTAGTGGGGAAACAGAGCTATAGATTCTTGATTTTTATTTTATTAGTTTAGGTATTTGATTCTCTGTGACAAGCTAATAATCCAAATTTTTTGTGGACTGTGTTTGATCTGTTTTAGGTAAATAATTATATTTTTGTATTACTGATCTGCGATACTATATCATTAATATACAGATATCAATGATAAACAAATTTATGTTTAATTGTCTAGTTATATTGATCTGTGATAGTATATCAATGATATACTATTATATATCACTGATATATAAACCATATTAGTAAAAACTTACCAACTTGTTTATCATTAATATACAACCATATATCAATGACATAGTATCGTAAATTAGTAACGCGAAAATAATCATTTTTCCAAAACGGTCCAACATAGTCCACAAAAAAATTGAATGTTACTGAGAGATGTGAAGATGGTGAAAATATGATAATAGATAATAGATCCCAGCCTAATCTTTTACTTCCATAAATGAGAAGTCAAGCCAACTTCAACCAGATAATAAACAATGATTTTTGGCAATGTAGAATTCTAAAAGTTTTCTTTGAATCATTATTGTTATCTAAAAAAAAATCTTATATTTTATTTTAAATTGTTAGGTGCATATAATATGAAATTTTGAATCATGGACTAGTTATACAGGATATCGTTTTTCTCTATTTTGGATATATAGCGCCAAAAATTTTATATTTGTTGAGGGGTTTTGTTGGGCAAAGAAGGAATATCACATTCTAACTAAATCTGTTAAAGGCCATGCTCCAAATTTTTATAAACTCTATCTAGAATTTTTGGGGTCTATATATTTACGGCCATTGTGCCAATTTTCTCAAATTTTTATTCTATCTGTTTATTCTTTTAGTTTTTAGATTCTTGATATAGAAAAAAATATAGAGTTTAACATTTTGGGATTTTTGGGTCTTTTTGCTTATAGCAACTTGAATAATATACATAAATCTATTTTGAGGTTTTAGAAGGTTTAATTTTTATATATTAATTGTTTATGAGATTTGAGGACTTCTTAAACGACCCTCCAACCAAACACACTTTTAAAATCAATGCTTTTGGTAATAAAAAATTAGGTTAAAAAGCAAAAATATCATGAAGTTTTCTTACTCTTGTACTTTTAAAAATGGTGTTACTAGGCCTATGACTAAATCTAATGGATGTTGACTGTTAAAGTGTTTGTGTTGATTAAATGAATCACATGTGGCATATAGTGAATGGAACTTATATGGCAAAAAAGCCCTCATGAAAACCCTAGCCACCATAGCATGTTAATTGTCTCGTCATTAGCCCTACCCTCGAAATGCTAGATCAAATCTTGCTAACAGTGAATTCTCCAATTGGCAATGGACTAGGATCTTTAGTTAGGTATATTGGATACTCTGGACCTCTAGGTGCAAATTTTTTTTGAAGGACAAAATACATGTGTTGCTGAGATTTTACATCAATGTAGGTACGTGCTTATAGAAAGTATCATCAATGAGAAGCCCCACCACACAATATTTCAATGTGAGTAGATGATGGAATCATAATGGAC